ATCTCGACTTTCTGCACCCTTTGCACGAGCACGCCCAGATTCAGGCGTTCTATCCGATCCTCTCTGCTAATGGGACCTCGGCACTGCAGAAAGTTGGTTTACCTTTCATGGACTGAAAAGTTTTTTGCTTTTTCTTATCTTCCTTTCCCTTTTTTTAAGGGAAAATTTGTCTGGCGCCCCTGTAATTTGCGTTATTTCACGTCTCGCCACTCCAACGGCCGATTTACCCTGTCGCGCCCCTCTGAGCACGGTTCAAATTTTCCATAAGACCCCGGTGTCGTTTGGGCCTCGAATCTTTTCGTTACACCCCTACCGGTACCAGTCTCTAATTTGCGGGATGCCCCTACCGGATGGCCGTTAAAAGCCAGCAGGAAAATTTTCGAGATGCCCCTACCGGCACCATTTGCTGCCAAGCCATTTGCTGCTATGTCATCTGCTGCCACGTCATCTTCTGCTACGTCTTCTGCTGGCAGTCCATTTGCTACCAAGCCATTTGCTACTACATCATTTGCTGCTACGTCATCTGCTGCCACATCATCTTATTGCACATCATCTGCTGCCAATCCATTTGCTACCAAGCCATTTGCTGCTATGTCATCGTCTGCTGCCTCATCAGCTGCTGTCACGGCATCTGCTGCCAAGAGGGCGTCTGCTGCCAAGTCCTCCACAACTGCCACATCTTCTACTGCTTTCCCAGATGCAGGGGCGGCTCCCTCTTCCGACAAACGAAAGGATGTCAGTGGTGGACAGTCTGAGTCAACCACGAGGGCAACGGCGACCTCGATGAATGCAAAGGCGGGAAAGAAGAAGTCTGGGACGAAAATCAGGGGGCCGGCGTTGGCTCTTGCAAGTCAGTATCTCGTCTCATCCGAAGGTTACGATCTATGGAAGAAGATGAAGGAGGAGAGGGGTGTTGTGATGGCGCTGCGCGCCTATCGCTGGTTGGTGGACTTTACAATGTTCCATCCCTCCCTCTCTCTCTCTCTCTCTCTCTCTCTCTCTCTCTCTCTCTCTCTCTCTCTCTCTCTCTCTCTCTCTCTCTCTCTTGCCCGCGATAGGTTTATCAAAGTTCCGAAACGTACGGTCATGATGGCCGCGTGTACAATGACAGTTGCCCAAAATGCAACTATAATGACTGTCATTTTAGACACGGCCATCATGACCGTACGCTTCGGAACTTTGATAAACCGAGAGAGAGAGAGAGAGAGAGAGAGAGAGAGAGAGAGAGAGAGAGAGAGAGAGAGAG